AGTGTCTAACGGGACCCTAATGCTAGATACCTCCATTAAGTCTGTTATAGTTGTGTTTGTAGAGTGCATATTAATTAATTTTTTTACATCGTCAGAATTTAATATGGAGGGATTAATGACGCCGATCCTTGCAAGGGCAATCTCTGAAATCAAGATTTCAATTTCGGAAATTAAGACTATTTCTGGCGAGCAATGTTTCGTATAAATGACTGATGTCAATCTGCTTAGCTTTCACATTGTTTGTGATTAGGTTAACTGTATCTGTTAGCTCGTTTATCTTTTCTTGCACTGCTGTGTTTATTTCTATTTGCCTATTTTCTGAATTAATTAGCCCTTTCAAAGCTGCCCCTAAAATGTTTAAGCTTCGTGCCTGTCTGTGGTGAATGTCTAATGTTTCCAAAAGTGTTTTTATATGCTCGATGTCCGAGTCCAGTAACATCCTCATGTGAGATGCAGGGAAATGTTTCGTTAGTTCCTTAGTTTCTTTGGCTATTTCCATATAAGTCCTGAGGTTTGTTGTGTGTTTAAGAAAATTAACGTTCTGCCAAACAGTTACAATCCCGTCCTGAATCGGTATGTAATTAGAGTGCGAGTAGTCAGTCAGTTTTGCTGTTGTCGACCCAATTAGAAGTATCACCGAAAGAATCCTGAAAAATATGAAATTAATCTACCTTGGTTACCCTAATAAAAATTAAAATTATTTTATGTTGTCCTTGTGGACCACCCTCCCTTTAATTAAGACTGTGGTCCCCAAGTCAGCTTCTACCTTTTCTTCTATGTAGAGAGGTGTTAACTTATTCCCTAATGCAGCGTTTTTGCTGCATTTAAAATGCAGCATTTAGCCCTTTCGAACATATGTTTTCGAAGAGCGTTCATGCTATCGCATTTAGCAAATGTACATTTACGCGAGTTCGAAATCGTATGCTTTTGACAAACAGCCGTGTTCCAGTCGCTTATTCAGATCCGTATCCATTACGATAAATTCTCACGGAAAAGATAATGTGCAAAAACCCCTACTGAAAAGGAAAAATAAACTCTAAACCGAAAATTCAATACAAAAACCTGAATTGTTTTAACTATAACCGAACATTTGTTTGTGTATATATTCATTTGTCGGTGCTGCCAATTATATTTTCCACACCTAATTAGGAAACAAAACAAACAGAGTTGATCACAAATTAATCCAGATTTCTATCAGCATCATTTCGATGTTGAATTTGCGTAACTTTTCTTTATCCAAATAATGTAAAATAATAAATGAAATCTCGATCGGCGATCACTGAAACGCAGCTAGCGGTTGTATACTCGAAAAAGCAATGTTGCCACTTTTTCTCATTAAACCATGTTCGAATCGTGGAAATTTTGGAAGATCACAGGGATGCTTTTAGCATTTAGATTCTAAATGCAAAGATTGAGTTGCATTTAGTTGCATTTAGATGACGAATTTTGTATGGATAAATGTACGTTTAGAGTAGCATTTAGAGCTAAATGCGCTAAATGTATATTTACGCGTAAGCAAAAACAGCCCATAACCTTTTATTGGTTTTTACCAATACGCGCTCCCCCACGTCAAACACTCTATTTTGTCTGGAAGGGTTATTCCTCTCCAGCAGAGTTTGTTGGGCTTTCTCTATTCTATCCATTATTTCATTTCGCATATCCTGCGGTGTGGCGTAAATAATATCAATGGGTTTTTTTCTGGTCACAGAATGAATAGTTCGATTATATTTGAATGTGGCCAATAATATAAGATCAATTGTTTCATCAATCTTTTTTTCCAATTTCAGGCATCTCGCAATCTCCGCAAGTGTACTGTGGAAACGCTCAACCTGACCATTAGAGGTACTGTGAAGCGGAGGTGCATTCACAATATCCACATTAAACTGATTTTTTAACAGAGATCTTATCGTTTCGGAATTTAGCGATGCCTCATTGTCACAATACATAGTTTTTGCCCCTGGGAATATATTCATTAACTGAAAAATTGGGTATTTTATGTCTAAAATTGTTCGAGATGGTATTGGCTGTACCACCGCAAATTTCGAGAACTTGTCAAGACAAGTAAGAAAGTACTTTTTGTCTGTTGAAAATATGTCAACGTGCAACATTTCTCCAGCATAGGATGGGACTGGTGTTATACCATGTTCTTGTTTTCGGGGATGCCTATCGTATTTGGCTTTACTGCAGATTTTACAGTTCGAGACCACTTCGTTTGTCAGTTTGGTCATTTTTGGGAAATAATAGTCACAAAGAATCTGCCTAACGTTCTCTTGAGCAGCTCTATGAGCTCGATTATGTTCGACAACAACGATCTCTCGCTGTTCGTCTTTATTTACAATGTCGGCCACCACACTTTTACAGAACGAAAACTTTGTATGCTGGCCAATATTGGCAAAGTTCAGTGTATGGCGTTTACCACATTTGGGTTCACGGCTAATTTCACTTTTTCCATGAGATATTCCTTATTTGTGAATTGGATAATATGGCGAGTTTTCTCACCGAAATATATAAAATTCCGTCTTAGGTTCAAGTCGGCTTCTTCCAAAACGATTTGGTTTCGGAAACAATTTAGTGGCTTCTCGGTTGCTTCTATCGTATAAGATAGCGATATTTCGCTATGAATTGTAGCCAAATCTGATTGGTTTTCTTCTTCTAGAGTATGAATGTTCTGTCTTGACAGAGCGTCGGCAACATAGTTTTCCTTGCCAGGTTTGTAAAAGAGTTGAGCGTTGTGCTCGTCGATAAACGCTTTCCATCGTTTAATCTTAGCATTTGGGTTTCGGTCTGAAACCGCAAATGTAAGTGGCTGGTGGTCCGTAAAGATATTCAAATTCTTTACACCATAGAGGTAATTTCTAAGGCTTTTTAAAGCCCAAACTATGGCGAGTAGCTCACGTTCGTTAGTTGCAAAGTTTTTTTCACGATCCTTCAGGGTTCTAGAGATCATAGTTATAGGCTTTCCACCCTGAGACAACACGGCCCCTATACCCATTGATGAAGCGTCCGTCGTTAGATCGAATGGCTTCTTAAAATCTGGGTAGGGTAGTATAACGTCTTCAGACGCTAAAACCTCTTTTAATTTGTTGAAAGCTTGAAGCTGGTCCTGATCTAAGTCTATTTTTACTTTTTTCGATTGTGTAGACTTCACTTTACCGTTCTCACCTTTAAGGATATCCGTCAAAGGCCTTGCTATTGACCCAAAATCCTTGATAAAACATCTATAATAGCTTGCAAGCCCTAGGAAGGACCTGACATTGAACAAAGTTGAGGGCTTCTCGTAATCGCGGATTGCTTTGATCTTACTAGGACTCGTCTTGATACCATCCTTAGACACCACAAAGCCTAAGTACTCCACACTTTGTTTAAAGAAGTGCGATTTTTCCCGGGATACCCTCATATTAGCTTCACACAGTTTTCCTAAAACCCACTCAATATGGTCAACGTGTTTTTCCTCGTCTTCGGAAAAAATAATTACGTCGTCGACGTAGATATAACAACACTTCCCTATCTGTTCTCGAAGCACGTCGTCGATGGCCCTCTGAAAAATGCTGGGTGCATTCTTCAATCCGAAAGGGAGTCTACAGAACTCGTACTTTCCATGACCAACCGAAAACGCGGTCTTTTCTCGATCTTGTTCAGCAAGTGCTATTTGGTGAAAGCCTGATTTAAGGTCAAGCGTTGTGAAATACTTGGCCTTTCCTAGATTTGACAATATAACTGTAATATTAGGAATAGGATATTTGTCGTCGATGGTTCTCTGATTTAGCTTTCTAAAATCTATAACCAGACGCTTTTTGGTGTTACCCTGTTCATCCTTACCCTTCTTGTCCACAACCCAGATTGGATTGTTGTATGGTGATCGAGATGGCCTTATTATGCCATTTCTTAATAAGTCACGAATTTCCGCATTCACGAAGTCTGAGACACCCATAGGATATGGGTATAACTTGGAATATACCGGGTCGTCACTTTCGGTGCGAATAGTGGCGACAATGTTCGTATTGTAAGGGAGTGCTTCATTCGAGTCCGAGAATACCCCATTAAATTTTTTATCATTTTTTGAAATTTGTTTCTCACAACTTGCGGCACTTCTATGTCCTCCACTTGCGTGAAGTTCATGTTACCACACTTCAAGAATTTAAGTTCTTCGGAGCCAGAACTGGTTTTTATTATTTTGTTTTTAAAATCTAACGTAGCATTTGTCTGCGTAAGCAGGGCAAGCCCAACGATTCCGTCGAAAGTTGAAAGCATGGCGAGCAAAAAAAAGGACTGTTTGTACCAAACAAGTTAACTATACATTTTTCCTTAACATCGTTAAAGCCATGTATTGACTTTACCAAAAACCGATTTTCGACCGGTATTATATTCTTAAGCTCTTTTAGAGGCTTAATATAATTTTTTGGTGCTCCTGTATCGATTAATAATTTAATTTTTCTCCCTGCAATTGTCCTTTCGATGAAAGGTAGCAGGGAATTTGCACTAAAAAATTGATTTGATCTGAATCA